CTTTTTTCCTACACTGAATACTTGTTGCTCTGAGGATGTGCTTGTCTGCTTTTTTAGATGTTCTGTAGGGGGTGGTTGGCGGGTGCTCTGATGTGGTTTGCTCCTTTCCTATCAAACATAAACAGTGGTCCCCGCCTAAGATCCCACCACTTATGGTCCCGGTTCGACTAAGATCCTGCTTTTCAGGTCACAATTTAGTTGCCTTTTCTTTAAAAAAAAAAGAATAAGAAGCCTGGGCGCGCTCAGCTGATCAACCAAGTAGCAAAAATGTGCCATCATTGAACGGTCTGTCGCGTCACGCATCATCCACTCTCGTGAACACGATCACACCTCTGTTGTAAATCTCGATAAGTGGTTACAATGTTTGCCCCAAACCTGATCGCACCAAAGTGTGAACTTGTCGACACGTTGCTTTCCCTGATCATCTGAGCCGTTTGCCCGATCTTACATCACACACTAGGTGCGGAGGGCCTACAAACAAGTATCAGACTGCGTTTCGTCAAACTGTAAACTCGCTCTTGTCTTTCAGTCTTGCGCTTGAACTTCCTAGGCAGACTGGCGACCATACTCGTGGACTGTCTGATCACCTTTGCGTAATGTGGTCATCTGTTGGCAGTGAACCTGCCTTTCATAAAAAAAAATATTTAGTCGGTGTGGTCACAACACAACGATTTATGATGCATCATCTGCTCCATTGCGTACAAACAAACACTTTGTGTTCCCAGTTTGTGGTGCAGGCAATGACCAATGAGGCTAACACCAAGTTTTGGCCTCAAGCAGTGACGGATGATGTCCATCAACACACGCACAACCTGAAGACAGTGTTGTCTGTCACAGCAAGCCGAGTGAAGGCAAAAACTTTGCTGCTGATCCCCTCAGAGTTTGATGAATTCTCCTACCCAGACCCAGAAAACCCTGGCAAAAGGTAGTTGTGTATCTCTGGATTTGTGTTTCTCTTCAGTTATCCTTATGGAGTTGCAGAGTCTAGGGCAGCAAATCATATTAATATGAGACTTAATTAATTAGAAATGTAGAAGCCAAGAGAGAAGCCTGCAAGCTGTGCACTTCCATGAATGAAAATAAAGCCTTTAAATGCTCAAAATGTGGCAAAGACATCTCTACCAGAATTAGTTTCACTGGCTAAATCAGAAGCCACAAGTCGTCTTAATTCCTGCTTCTTTTATTTTGCGTAAGAAATAATGTTCTCCTCTGACGAATATCGGTCATCACCAGAGATCAATTGAAGAATTATTATTATTGTTATTATTATTATTATTATTATTATTATTATTATTATTATTATTATTTGATTTTCCCTCTACTGGCTCAGCACTTTGACTTGTCATAAAGAGATTGGGAAAATGGGCAGTATGAGAAATAGGAAGTATGTTTATGTTGAAGTCCACATAGTAACTCCAGTCAACAACCAGACATAAAATAAAAAGATTAAGCAATCTCAAGCTTTGCACCATTCTTATTTTCTTTCACAATAGCATTGTAGTTTCTATGACTGTCTTTTGAATCTTAATAATGCTTGTCCAGGAGGAGACCTATGTGAAAGGAATCAACTTCATCATTAAAGCAAACCTTAAGAACAAACTTATGTCAAAAATGGAGATGAAGTGTGACTGTTCAAATTACTTATAGCCTTTAGTCACACATGTTCCTAAGGAAAGTTGTAAAAGTAAGGAAATTACTACAGTCGAACCTGCTTTAACAAACTTGTGTCCAAGACAGTCACCTGTGCAAATGATCACTTCCCTCTTTCTCCTTTGGTTTTTTTTTCTGTCATAAAGTAGACACCATCCAAGAGGACCATCCGTTTAACATGACCACTTTTCTCCCCGACAATGGGTAGCTGTCTTGGACAGGTTCAACTGTACTCCTAACAACTCGTGTTTGGTGGGTGGTTGGCGGGTGCTCTGGTGTGGTCTGCTTCTTTTTTCCTATCAAACATCTATCGTCCTTGTCTCCCCTTCTTCTTTTTTATGTTTGTTACTCTCTTGTAACACCTCTTATCTTCTGGTGCTCATATGACCTTATGCAGTTGCGAACGCCGTAAAACCTCTACTAAAACAAACAACTCGTGTTTCCTATACTTATTTATGATTAATTTTATCCCTCAGGCCTGACCAGAAGTTCATCCATAGTATTGAGTCTCTGGTAGTGATGTGGCACAATGAGGTTCGGGAGGTGCTCCCGTGTCGATCTGCAGATGCCATTCTGGAAGGGAAGAAACCTCAACCCAGCCAGGAGATCCAGTATTGGATGCACCGCGCCAAAGACTTTGATCAAATCTATCAGCAAGTATGTCGAATTTGAAACTCACAGAGTTTCACTTCAATTTGAGTTAGAGCTTGGGAATAATATCCGTTTAAGGGTTGTGGCTTTTTATGACTTTATATGTGAGCAGTCATATAATGTGTGTGTGCATTTGTGCATATGTGTGCGTGTATGCGTATGTGTGTACCTGCTTGTGTGCCTGTGTGTAGTTCTGTGCAAAATAATATATTGTTGTTTGTAACATTCTGTTTTTAGGCTCAGTTAGAGGCCATTTTTTAATGTATAGGGACTGGTACCTTTGAGACAGTTGATTTGCAGACAGTTTTTTAAATCAAAATGACTGCCTCACAAGTGATGGTTTGTTCCATGTAAATTTTTTTCCAGTTGATAAATCGAAAAGTGAAAATGATGGTGCGCTTGCTCAAGGACAGCAACAGCATTTATTACCATTCTTTCAAGGAGCTGTACAGCAGTGTGGTTGGAGGTGAGAGAAATGTTTTGTGGAGGAAGTAGCATTTCTGACCTCACTTTTGTAATATAGTTTTCATTTTCTCCTGCATTTTCATTTTCATGATTTTTGTTATTCTGATCTATTAAATGTTATTATTCTTTCTTTACCTTAAATGAGTTGACAACACTGAAAAAAAACAAAGCTATTTTCAAATCAATAGTGCGGGTGGTTGATGGGTGGTCTAGTGTGGTTTGCTCCCTCTTTTCTATCAAACATCTATCATCCTGATCTCTCCTTCTTTTTTTTTCTTTTTTGTGGGGGGGGGGGGGGGTTGTAACTCCCGTGTAGCACCTGTAATCTTCTGCACTTAAATGACCTTATTGCCTTGCTAGTGATGTTAAACTCTTACTGAGACTAAACTGAACCAACAGCAGTGAAAAGGAATAAAATTGTGATGGACAGATGCGACGTACTTTAGCTTATGTTGCTTTTGTTGTTTTTCCCCACTGTCTCTCGTCATGTGTCCTTGGGCCCAGTGCCATGTTACAGAAGATGGAAGGAAGTCTTTAAAAGTTGTTCCTTCTTGCTGTGTGGAGTGTCATCTAAGTCGAGAGTGAGGGAGATTTGGATGAGCAAAATAGTACAAGAAAGTTTCATGAACTTTATTACAAAAAATGTGGGTGGTTGGGGGGTGCTCTGGTGTGGTTTGCTCCTTCTTTCCTATCAAACATCTTTCGTCCTGATCTCTCCTCCTTCTTTTTTATGTTTGTTACCCTCTTGTAACACTTCTAATCTTTGGCACTTATATGACCTTATTGTGTTGCAAGTGCCGTAAAACTATTACTAAAACAATACTAAAACAAAACAAACAGTCCCCATCATCTGTTTCTACTCTTTTTGTTTTGTTTTATTTGCAGCACTCCTGGAGGCAAATGACAATTCTGTGTACATGCTGGCACTGAATCACATGATAGAGTCTGTAGAGAACACAGACTTTGAGGCCTGCCTGGAGCACCTGGGACCTCTGATGCACACCGTCTGCCTGGTCTGGATACACTCCAAGTACTACAACACACCGGAAAGGCTCACCGTGCTGCTGCAGGAGCTGTGTAATTTCATGATTGAAATAGTAAGTGTACCTGGTGAACCCTCTCCTCTTCCTGGTGAACCCTCTGCTTGCTGTGGCTGGCTTGTTTAGCAGGCTGAAAAAAAAATGTTGTCCATCTTTGTTTCAGTGGTGGAAAATCTTAACTCTTTCACTACCATGGCTTTTCCTCACCTGGACTGGGCCTTATCTGTGACCTGCTTTCTGATTCTGCCAACCCTAGGACAAATTAAAGATTTTTTAGTTCAATTCTCAATATATATTAGCCACAGTTATTATACATGAAAATAAAGAGGAAATAATGACCTATCTCAACATGTTGCTAAAAATAGTCATTCTTCAGCCTGAGATTTCAGTTTCGATTATTACAAAAGTAGGGCTGGTTTTGAAGCAGAAAGCGAAGAGCAGTGAAACATGGCTCGCGGTCCATTGTTGGGAGTAACACAAGCTGTGAAACATGGCTCGCGGTCCAGTGTTGAGAGTAACACAAGTTGTGAAACATGACTCGCGGTCCAGTGTTGAGAGTAACACAAGTTGTGAAACATGGCTCGCGGTCCAGTGTTGAGAGTAACACAAGTTGTGAAACATGGCTCGCGGTCCAGTGTTGGGAGTAACACAAGCTGTGAAACATGGCTCACGGTAGTGAAAGAGTCTTTCTGTGGGCTTTGAGTTACAACAGGTTTTGCATCAGTGGATTAAAGCAACTGGTTGAGAGGGGTAGGAAGGGGTGAGGGAGAGGGGATTCAATTTCACTTCAAATGCTAATTGATGAATCATTTTCACACTCACGGATTTAAATATCTTTTTTCAGCGTATTGTTGATGATAATTTTTTTCTCTCTGTGTCCTTAAATAGTTAACTCTTTTTTTGTCTTCAGGTGGATGGTTATTTAGGCCCTGAGGAGATGTTCAAAGGAGAGATAGCAGAAGCTATAAACACTGTCAAGACTGCGGAGAAAGTGATGTCAGTGTTCAGAGAATCATTTGATGAGCACAGAGCCAAATTGCCTACCATGTTTCCAGAAGGTGCCCATGTGAGAAAATGGGATTTTGATCCAGAGTTGGTCTTCTCACGTTTTTCGAAAGTTTACGAGCGCGTAAAAATTGCCCATGTGAGTAAAGAAAATCACTTTATACAAATCTTGTAGGTAATAAAATTTGCCTTTAATTTGACATTGAAAATATTTCGAACAAGTCCTTGCTGAAACAAAGCAAAGTCCCAAGAAAGTAAGCGAAACAATCCAGAGCTTCCACCAAAAGCTCATTAAAAAATTTGCTTTAATTTCTGAACACTTTGCTGCCTTTTTAACTTGTTACTTGCTACTTGTGTGAAGGACCGACATCACTGCACTAGGGGCATCCCCATAAGCGTTCCGTCCCCTGAAGAAGCATGTCTCGAAGTGTGTAGATGCTGATGGTTCCAAGCAATGTTTGATTCCATAGCCTTCTGCTCCTCCCACTAAGTCTTGATCTTCTGCAGGCGCCCCATCTAATTCCAAGCTCACGAAGTCGCTCAAGATGATGGTATTCCGACTCTTCTTGTTCTTTTTCTCGTTTTTCCCCTACTGAATGCACCATTTCAGGTTTGTCAGTGCACAGCTTCCCTTCCGGTTTTGCTTTCCCAGCGAGCTCATCAGCCGGCTCATTGCCCTTGACTCTGGCATGAGTCATGCCTCAACTGTCAGCGAACCAGTTTCTCATTAGTGATTCTGTATTGTCTGGTTCTATCTATATTAGCTGATTTCAGTAGCCTTCGGATGTTAAGGGTAATTGTGCCTGCTGATAACTTGACTTTCTTAAGGAAAGCAAAGCATTAATTTTCCCTTTTTTAGTAATTCAATGAGCCTTTGGATCATCGTACAGGAGTTTTTGCTCTTCTGGCAAGCAATAATGATTAACGCTTAATTAATTATTATTGTCACCAAGGGTTGGATGTTGGAACTGAGTAAAAATTCTACAGGTATATCATCTGTAAATACTATCTCAGTTGCGCTCATCATCATCATCATCATCATCATCATCATCATCATCATCATCATCATCATCATCATCATCATCATCATCATCATCATCATCATCATCATCGCCTTTCTCATCCTGGATCACAGTGAAGGCCACAAACAAACACTTTCTACTTTTTCCTATCCCGGACTGGCCTCTTGATGCTGCTCCATGTCTTCCCACTTTTCTGTACATCAATTTCTGTCAGTTGCTCTTAAAAGTGTTAAACGTGATACAATGGTCATATTTTTGGTCAATGATTTACAATAATTTCAGGTCACCTAAATAATATTGTGAATATTAGCTTTGCCTGTCCAACAGGTCAATGAAAATTCTGTGTGACTGTTGGACTATTTGTAAGTGTAGGCATATGTTATTGTGTATGTGTATATATATGTGTGGAAGAAAGGATGTGTAAGAGTGTGTGTATGCTTTTGTGTGTGTGAGTGTGTGTGTGTGTGTACATGTGTGTGTGTGTGTATATATGCATGTGTGTGTGCATGCGTGCATGTGTTGTGTGTAAGTATGTGTGTGTGTGTGTGTGTGTGTGTGTGGTGTTTGTGTGTGTGTGTGTGTGTGTGTGTGTGTGTGTGTGTGCGTGCATGCATGCGGTGTAAACTCTTATGTAGAAGCACCTACTAAAATCGGCACAGCAGTGGAATCATGTTCTTTAAAAATGTTTCGATGGTCGCTTTTTCCTTTCTTTGATTCTTTTAATGATTTATGCTTTACACGCTAGAGTTTTAAGAAAATCCTTGGTTGAGCATTGACTGATAAAACAATGTAAAGGGTTAACTCTACATGTTGTGAATTATAGTTGCTTTGGCCTCTGCACACTGTCCATTTTTTTGCAACAACTTCTACAGTACATCATGGACACCAATCTCAATTTCATGAAGCTGGAGAAAGTTGATTTTGGAGGCATTAAAGGCAATGTTCTCGGAGACGAAGTGTTGCACATATTCCAAGAATTTGACGAGGCTTTCAAGCTTTTCACAGAGGGAAAATTCAACCCCCTGGATACCGATGACCCGGTAAGGAGTGGCCTTATAATGTCAGAGACTGAGAGAGAAATATTATAATACCATACCACATTTTTATGCAACTTCTTAAAGAACTATTGATCCTTTTCAAGACTGCCACCCATTATCAAGGAGGGAAATGGTTATCTTAGACAGGTGGTCCTTTTCGACCGTGTCATTATAATACAAAAAAGTGGGATGTGATCACTTGTTCATGAGGTTGTGTCAGGCAGGTGATCGTTAGTGCAAGTTGGGCTGTAGTTTTTCTTTCTTTCTGTAATTAAGGAGAGTTGTTGTTACATTTTTCCTCCGTTTATATCATCTCCTTATATGGTTTCTGCTCCTTCAAAATTAGTATTACACTAGGATATGATATCCTATATTTTTTAGCGCACAATAATTGATCATAATTGTAAATAAGTCAAGAAATAAAGTTTGCTGTAGGTTATAATGAAAACAAGTGAACTTGAAGCTCTAAATTGAGGATGGGCTCTTAACTTGTGTAGGCTCAAAATTCTTCGTCTGTATAAATTATCGCAATTACTCCCCTCCACCCTCGATCAACTACCCCCCCCCCCAAAACATAAGAACTATATGTATTAAAAAGTACCATGCTGTAATAAAGAAACTACAAAGAAAGTAGCCCTTCTAAACAAGATTTACTGGAACTTTTCCTATGATTTAGCGCCATCTTAAATAGTAAAATCTCTCTTAAGTTGTCCATATTTGTATTTATGGTCGTTTACACCCTTCAAAATATTTGGTCTTTACTTTGTGTCCTCAGGAGTTTTTGAATGCCTATGAAACCTTCAGTGCAATTATGGCAGACTTTGACCGCCGTTTGGCCACCATTGCATGCAAGGCATTTTTTGATTGCTCCGGCTTGGAGTCTGTGTATAAGGTAATTCAGAAGATAGATATCTTTTCTTCATGTTTTGTGCCCATATCCCCACTTTTTCAGTTCAACTGAGGCTTCAAGTCCCTTTGAATTTACTTCCTTTTCTTTGTTAAATTTGTCTTTATACCTTGCGTTTTGTGATCTTCTTGAAGATAATCTCATTTACATACTGTTTAGCGTGGATTTGATTGCCAGCACAGGCCAATGGATATTAGCGAATTTTGAAGTTAAAATTTTTCCTATTGTACAGTGTGTTCTTTGCCACCATCAATGTGAATCAACTGTGAGCATGAGTTAATTACTTGTACTGAAATTCGTTTTGTTCTCTGAAAATCCCAGCTGATTGATATGATGGGGCCACTGCTGGAGAGAAAACTCATTATAAAGGACTTCAATGACAAGTACCCAATGGTGGTGGAACAGATGCATCAAGCTTTGGATATTTGCTTTGAATTGTATGAACAGCAGGTGTGTATTTGATGTTATTTCTTATGAGGATGGGAATGAGAGTGAAGACGTGCTGTGATCTCCTTTTTTCTTATCAATAAACTATCTTTTTATGTGGGTGGTTGGCGGGTGCTCTGGTGTGGTTTGCTCCTTCTTTCCTACCAAACATCTATCGTCCTTATCTCTTCTCTTTCTTTTTTTGGGTGTTTATTACTTGCTTGTAACACCTCTAATCTTCGACATTTATGGGACCTAATTGTGTTGCAAGTGCACTGAAACGCTTACAAAATCATAAAACTAATAAGTTGTTTGTGTTATTTATGAGGATGGGAATGAGAATGAAGCAGTGCTGGGATCTCCTCTTCTTCTTCTTACCTGTAAACTATATTTTGTTGTTGGCGGGTGCTCTGGTGTAGTTTGCTTCTTCTTTGATATCAAACACCTATTCGTCCTTATCTCCCCTCGTTCTTTTTTATGTTTGTTACTCTCTTGTAACACCTCTAATCTTCTGGCGCTCATATGACCTTATGCAGTTGCGAACACCGTAAAACCTCTACCAAAACTAAATCTAAAACTGTACTTTTGTGGTTGAAGCGTGCCACTATTACATCCTATTCTTTTCTGACATAATATGCCTTTTTTTTTTTTGGGCAGTCGTCTATCTTATCCCAGAGTTGTAGACAATTGTTATTATGTCAGTTTACTTCATTTGTGCTTGCTCAGCCTTGTTCTTTTTTATGTTTGTTACTCTCTTGTAACACCTCTAATCTTCTGGCGCTCATATGACCTTATGCAGTTGCGAGTGCCGTAAAACCTCTACTAAAACTAAAAAATCAAAGCTGAAGGAACAACCTTGAACCTGTGAAGTAACCGTGCGCTTCATAAGAACATTATGACTTTCAAAGAAATTCCGTTTTGGAAGTATCTCTAGATGAAATGTACTTTCTTTCCTTTATAAGAGTTCACAAGTAAGTTCAGTTGCTTTGAATATTGTTTTTGAGTAAGATCTGTTTATATAATTAGAGAAGAAAAAAAGTCAACATAAATGTTAAAAATGTTTTTTTCATGTCTTTAGGCTGAAATCTTCTGAAATCTCTTCACATGTGTATGCTGTCCTATGTTAGATGGCTCACAAGAAGGAGACGGGCCTCATGGTGGTCCATAAGAACATGCCTCCTGTGGCGGGCGCCAGGATCTGGGCCAGAGAGCTGTACAGCAGAGTGGCCAGCCATCTGGAGGATTTTGGCAGAATTGAACACCCGTGAGTATAATCATAATAATAGTCATCATAATAATGACAATAATAGTAATAATGATCATTTAAAAAATATATAATAAATAAATAAATAAACAATTGAACACCCGTGAGTATAATAATAATAATAATAATAATAATAATAATAATAATAATAATGATAAGCAATTGAACACCCATAGGTATAATAATGATAATAATGATAATAATAATAAAAATAAACAATTGAACACCCATAAGTATAATATTAATGGTAATAATAAGAAGAATACAGTCGGACCTGCCTTAAGGGAAGCCTGTGTAAAACGAAAACCTGTCTTAACGGAATCTCCCCGCTCCCCCCTTGATCTATTCCTCTTTGACCCTATCCGTACGTCGTGTTTTACTATCGTATCCATATGACGTGGGGAACTCTGTGCCTCCACGTTTCAAAGAGTAAATTTACTCATTTAAACGATCTGTACGCTTTGCATCGCAGTCTGTCGTAATGATTTTTTGAGAAATACTGAAAGTTTCAAAGAGATCTTTGTACTAGAAGTATTCTAAAATGTGAAGAATACAACCGTGGGGGTAAATAATTATCCCAGGGCGTACGGATAGGGTTAATTACCTGTACAAAACGGAAACCTGTCCAATGCAGAAACGGAAGGGAAAATCGACTCCCATCTAAGGGTTTTACCTATCAAAGACTGAAAATGTTTTGCCCTCTCAGCCCTGATTTATTTGAAACAAAACATGCAAGTTTGGTTCTGCCGGCTCTAAACTTAACGCCATGCCGCCTTGCGAGGAAGGGGAGTAGGGATGCAATTGGGGGAAGATGTTACCCCATCTATGTGAGCCCTGAGCGATGCAGATGGTCAGGGTAGTGTGGGTGTGAAATCTCACGAGTGCCAGTGAAAGTGCTCGAGTAGCGAGCCACCTCGGAAACTTTCTTGGGTAGCAAGAAGCTTGAGGTGTGAGATTGGTTTGACCAATGTCTACCGCCCTGATCATATGGCCAGCCGAGAAAAGAGTTCCTCGAATCCTTGTTACATGGCAGTGAGCGGTGGCATTGGTTGACTGTGCTTGTTACTCCGATTGGTGGGACTAAGGTTGGAAGCAAAGGAGATGTTTGAACGTTTCTGTTTTTAATAGGTCAGTGGTTTTATGAAATGCATGCACTAGTGGTAATTGAATAAGTAAGACTGACGCATGTCATTATCAGAGAGGATAGCAGTTGAGAGGTGTGAAGTTTTGACCACTGCTAGCCGACTGGACAAGCGATCCTTGATCCTACCGGCTGAGCCTTTGACTCCTCCCCTCCCCAAATCTCCCCATAAATTCCGCTGTCTAAGACAGTTCCCTTTTTTTCTTGCTCCCTTGGGATTCTGTCTTACACAGGTTCGACTGTAATAATACAAATAATAATGATAATAATAATAATAATAATAATAATAAACTATTGAACAGCGGTGAGTATAATAATAATAATAGTATTAATAATAATAATAATATTAATAATAATGATAATAGTAGTAGTAATAATAATAATAATAATAATAATAATAATAATAATAACAACAACGATAATAATAATACTAATAATAATGATAATAAGCAATTGAAATTGTAACAGAAGTCATTTAAATCCTACTGTGTTCTTTTTCAGGATCAAGCACTCAGAGACTTACCAGCACGTCCTAACTAGAGTTGCTGATCTGAAAAACCTTCTTGATCTGTGAGTTATGATTAGTCCAGCTTTGGCTGTTTGTTCCATCAATATTGTTGAATCTGTTTTTTTTAGGAAAATGCTCAGAAATCATGATGTAATTCTCTTGCAAGGTTGTCAGAAATTTTTAAAAAGAGTTTTTAAAATTATTAACTTTATTTGGATAAGGTTGAAAATGTAGTTTGTTACAACTATATTGTTGAATCTTTTTTTTTTAAGGAAAAAGCTCGGAAATCATGACGTAATTCTCTTGTAACGTTGTCAGAAAATTTTTTAAAGAGTTTTTAAATTCTGAACTTTATTTGGATTAGGTTGAAAATATAGTTTGTTACAACTATATTGTTGAATCTTTTTTTTTTTTAGGAAAAAGCTCGGAAATCGTGACGTAATTCTCTTGTAACGTTGTCAGAAATTTTTTTAAAGAGTTTTTAAATTCTGAACTTTATTTGGATAAGGTTGAAAATGTAGTTTGTTACAACTATATTGTTGAATCTTTTTTTAAGGAAATGCTCAGAATTCATTATGTAATTCTCCTATAACGTTGTCAGAAATTATTCATGTAAAGAGTTAAAAATTCTAAACTTTATTTAGTAAAGTTTCAAAATGTACTGACAACCACGATATACTCTCGTGGGCAGAACATTGTTTGTATGTTTCTTCTTTTTAAGCAAAGTGTATTCTTACAATATTATACTCTTAAATCTTCCTGAAATTGCCACACCCTTCCATAATTGTACCTTAAGTTGGTTAAATAACTATTGATAAAAATAAAATGTCGCTTTCTTTTTCATCCCTGCTGACATGCTAACACCTTCGTCCAAATTTTTGAAAATTTGGCAATTCTGGTTTTTGAGAGAACACACTTTTATTTCATGTTTTACTGTTCAAAAACTTGTGCTCTAAGTGCACCAGTGGCTCCTTCTCTTGAGGCTTTGTTTTCTGTACTCTCAGGTCAATTAGGTATCTCTGATAAGAGAGTGGGTTTCCTCAAATGTGGAGACTCGTGTGTAAATTGTGGAAAAGGAAAAAAAAACCTCATATGTAAAGTCAAGCGAAGGGAGTGGGTGGTTGGCGGGTGCTCTGGTGTGGTTTGCTCCTTCTTTCCTTTCAAGCATCTATCGTCTTTATCTCCCCTCCTTCTTTTTTGTGTTTGTTACTCTCTTGTAACAGCTCTAATTTTCTGGCGCTCATATATGGCCTTATGCAGTTGCGAGCGCCGTAAAACCTCTACTAAAACTAAATCTAATTTTCAGCACTTATATGACCTTATTGTGTTGCAAGTGCCGTAAAACTCTTACTAAAATTTTTTTTAAAGTCAAGCGTAATGTTTGTAGATGAAAGATGTGGTGTGGGAAGTCAGGTGGTTAGGCTTATGGACTCAACGTATTCTTGTGGTTGAGGGCTCAGGGGTTTGGGTCTCAGCTCAGCTCAGCCTGCAATTGTGTCCTTTGAAAAGATACTTGACACAATTGTCCTCGTGGGTGGTTGGCGGGTGCTCTGGTGTGGTTTGCTCCTTCTTTCCTATCAAACGTTTATTGTCCTTATCTCCCCCTTCTTCTTTTTTATGTTTGTTACTCTCTTGTAACGCCTCTAAACTTCTGGCGCCCATATGACCTTATGCTGTTGCGAGTGCCGTAAAGCCTCTACTAAAACTAAACTAAATATTGTCCTCACTTTACCCTGTGATGAATTGGTACCTGGCCTGAGACAGCAAAAGATTTTGTCAGTATGTTTGTGTAAAAAGCATCTTTTCAGGAAGTTGAAATTCTTTCATAATGTTGTCAGGTCTGCTGAGGTAAGGATATATATTGTAATGGGTGTAGAGCTTGCTACTTTGCTACTGAGTAGAGATTTTGGTAATACAAATATTATTTATTATTATTATAAAAAGTACTTTTTGTCCTGAATGCTATCTGATAGGCTGCATTTGGCCCATATCATACTATTGTGTTTCTCTTATATGTTTCTATTTTGTTCGTAGCTCTGATGAAACTGAGTACCAACAGTGGCTCTCAAATGTTGAGGAGAATTGTTCTTTCAACATGGCTCAGCATTTGTTGAAAAAGGATCTGGAAACAAAACTTTTGACTGTCAATTTTGATGACAAGGTAACCCTGTTTTTTTATGAATGTAAAATATTTGTTTTGTCTTTTGCATCTGGATCAATAAAGTAATCCTTGTTGAATTTTGAGTATTTTTTTCAGACAAACTTTCTGTGTTCGATTTTAGAAGTATACTTTTTGCGTACTTTTCTAAAAAAAATAACAAACTGGCTTTTAAAATCTGCCTATGACGTTGATTTTAATTTTTAAAATATATTCGCTGCAGTTGGTCGCCATCTTGAAAGAAATGAAACACCTGAAACCTTCTGGTGAGAAAATAATGCCATAACAGCCCCAATTGTGGCTGAATTTTCTTTTCTATTTTCACCCACAGTTGGTTGCTGTCCTGAAAGAAATGAAGTACCTCAAACTACTTGGTCAGGGAGACATCCCAACACAGCCTGAAAGCGTCTTCAAAAGGCGGGACATGCTGTTCAAGTACTACGCCAATCTGATGCTCATTATGCAGCTCTACAACAGACTCATCACAGACACCATACCGGTGGAGCAGCCACTGATTGCTCCGACTTTGGCCAAAATAGATCAACAGCTTGAGTTGGCTATAAATATCTTGGCTTGGAAGATGGATGGTGGGTTACTTTTCATTCTTTGCAGTATATATTGTATCAGTGATATTTAAATAAACAAAAGTTTTGATACTTAGTGTATATGCTTTAGTTCTCTAGATGTGTATGATCCACTCAATATCCAGCTGTGCTGATATTGATAAAATCAGTGATGATGAAAAGGAACATACTACGTAGGTAATACTGTTCTTCAGATAGCCCAGTGTCTTTTCTCTAATATGATAAAACGACTGTCAAGGTTGTGTAATATAATATTAACACTAAATTAACCGCTACTAAACCCTCTCTTCTTTCAGCTGTGGAAAGAGGGAAATTTTCAGATACACAAAGAGATGCATACCTGAATACTTGCATGCACGCTTTCACACTCACTGAAGATGCTGTAAACGAAAGATAAATCTGTTCCTTTAACCCTGTCCTGGTCTGTATGAGTAGCATCATTCATCATTTTTATCTATCTGGTTAAAAAGGCAAGACTCTACTATGGCAAACACCATAGTAATGCCTTTCAATGTGTGAGAACTAAAGTGATGAGCGTGGTTGATATTTTGTATAATGCCTTTCATCTCAGGAAATCCAAAATTGGGGAATATGGTGTATGAAGAAAACCAAACACATCTTCCATCACCAAGGGGGCTAACAAAGTATGAAGCGAAATGTGAGAACAATGTAATATGCATGCTATGATTCTCATAGGTACCTCTTTTTCTGGATAAAACTGGAAATCCAGATTTTGGAAATTCCCCAGTTTGTTTCTGACTTTGGAAGGATCGCTGCGAAAATAGTTTTGATACAAGCTGTATAAGACAATATGATCCATAAATTTTGAGTCCCCCTGTTGATAGGATATGATAAGATATGCTAAATCTTTATTGTCCTGATCCTGGCACATTGTTTTCAATACGGACAATAAAGATTGATCATATCTCATGTGTTTCATAGCCATTTGACACCCCTGTTTACTGCAGAACTTTTTTTTATCTACAGACATCTGGGAGTACATTGAAGAGACTCTGGCCATGATCAACGATCTGACCCATCGAGTGGAGCGGTCGAAAGAAAATGTTCAGCGGATGAAGGACGTGCTGGGCACTTTTGCCTCTCTTCCTTTGTTTGAGCGGAAAGAGAAACTGGATAACCTGCTTGGGCTAGTTGACCGCGCTGACGTTGTGAAGAAGCGTAATACGGCCATCACTGGTGCTGGGATGGAGATTCATGAACTCATGGCTGTGAGTATTTTTGTAATACGGCCATCACTGGTGCTGGGATGGAGATTCATGAGCTCATGGCTGTAAGTGAGGCATAGTAAATGATTATCAATGTTATGTTGCTTAAAAATTTTTCTTTCTTTGGGTTTTTTTTTTCTTTATTAAAACTTTTTTGGTGTTTTTTTGTCAAGCTTCCTCAAAGAAAAGAGGCGAAGTGTAATATTGTCTCTCTTTCTTTTTTCTGTCTGTCTTTCTTTCTTTCTTTGTTTCTTTCCCTCACGTAATGGTTTCCCTTTGCAGGCTCAAGGTTGGAAACTACTACTTTTACAGAATATTGACCGTGAATTTTAGTAAGATTGTGGTAGGGATATCATTTTTGATAACCTCTATTTTACACAAAACTCTTTTTAAAGTAAAAATTGTACAAAATGTCGTGAACTATGTTTTGATGATGTTAATGCCCAGTTGTCTTAATTCAGATTTTGTTTTGCATTCTTGTTATTTCTGACAGACGAATTGTGAGCTTTTTCAAGCTGATGAGGAGTCTGAGGCTTGGTTAAACTACAAGAAGTATCTAGATCAAATGGTCATCGATTCGTTTTATGACATTATTGGTAAGTCTTATGATGCATAATTTGCAATGAAAATTCCCCCCAACCTTTACTTTTTAAGCTATAATACAGTAAAATCAAATCTAGCTTTAGTCATTGATGCTATTGAAGTTTACACTCACTGCCACTCTTTTGTCAATCATGCTAACTCTCTTAAAGATTTTAATTCAGGAGACGCTGTATTTTTGTAATATGAACCTGGAAACAAAGATTGTATTTTTCATAGATTTAGAAATGATAGCCGTATCTTTTAGTTACCTTCAAACCGTGAAAAACCGTTTATTTTTTGTATCACTTTGATATTAATAGCTAGATAAAAACGTACTCTTCTTTCCCTTTATTCCAGCTATCCTTTCAACTTTTCAGATTTTGTGCATGTTTCATAACATTCATTTCAATCTGGAAAAGTCATGATAAAATACTAGAAACATTTTTTTTTCAACTTACGCCAACCCTGCTGCATGTCAATATCTGTTACTGTCATTTGCTAGCTTGCAGTCTGAACTACATAATCAACAACACGGATGAAGAAAAGACCAGCGGGCCACTGTTTGAGATCCTGCTGGAGCTCCACATCCCAAAGATGGTGTTCATCCCCGAGCTGGAGCCAGGCGTCCAGCCCGCCTTCTGGGACGTCATCGACGGAGTCTTCTCGGACATCTACGCCATGGCCTCACTCATTCCCAGGCTAAGTCCTGACGAGGAAAAGACTTACCAGGTGAGTCAGTGGTCTTGGTCTGTGTTTCAGTCTGTGGCGTCGGTGGCCTCGCGGTTAGGCTACCGGACTCGTTATCGTGAGGTTGCGGGTTTGGGAGTTCAAGCCGCGGGCCCGACGTTGCGTCCTTAGGAAAGGCACTTTACACGAATTTTCCCCACTTCACCCAGGTGAAAATGGGTACCTAGCTATAGACAGTGAAAGATCTTGTCAGTTTGTTAGTGTTTGAAGGCTTAACCAGCTGCTTGCACTGTATGCTTCCCAGGAAGCTGAGAATGTTTCTGAGTGTTCTATGGTCTGCTGCGGTAATAATATAGTGTAAAGCGCATAGAGCTTGCTTTCGAGTGGGGATATGCGCTATGCAAATGCTATTTATTATTTATTATTACATTTTAGTTGTTCTACGTTCTTTGGAAAGTTTAGTAAATTTGGGATCTTGTATAGATGGTGTTGAAAAGCTTTAAAAGTTCTCTGAAAAAGTTATAGTATATCAGTTTTTGACACTTACATGACCAAAAGTGTGTCGATAGCGCTGTAAAACATCTACTAAATCATCAATCTTCAATCTGAAAAAGGTGAATTAAAATTTTACTGCTTTATCTATTATCATGTCAATCAGGGCTATTTATATTCCCTTGCATTTCTATGTCTCCTTGTCAGTTCTCAAATTCTGAGTTAGAGCTCTTGGAGCCTGTTTGCTTTCTTTTTTTTTTCAGACAGGATGTGAAAATCCAGGAAGATTGCATGAGAATCAATAACAGAAATGTCATTTTGAAGATTATATTGCATTCTAAGTTGTAATGGCTCTCCTACATTTTCCAAAAAAGTTGTATTCTTTGTCAACTCCTTTTATTTGTATAGCGTAGCTGTATAGAAGTTTTCTTCTTTCTCCCCTCTTTGACTTCACTTGAGTGATGAATGATGATGATGCCCTGCACTTCGCTATTTCTGATGAATTTAAATGAAAAATATTATTGTAAAATGTAGAGATCCTCAAAATATAAGTACAGTCGAACCTGCCTTAACGGAAACCGGTATGACAAGGGAACCTGTCTTAACGGAATCTCCCCGCTCCCCCCTTGATATATTTCCTCTTTAATTACCTGTATAAAACGGAAACCTGTCCAACGCGGAAACGGAAAGAGAAATCCGCTCCCTTCTGAGGGTTTTACCTGTCTAAGACGGAAAATGCTTGGCCCGCTCAGCCCTGATTTGAAACAAATCTTGCAAGTTTGGTTCCGCCGGCTCTAAACTTAACACCGTGGCCATGCCGCTAGGCGAGGAAGGGAAGTTGGGTACAATTTGGGGGTAGATTTTACCCCCATCATGTGAGCCCTGAGCGATGCAGATGGTCAGGGTAGTTTGGGTGTGAAATCTCATGATTGCCGGTGAGAGTGCTCGAGTAGCGAGCCACTACGGAGACTTTCTTGGGTATCCAGAAGCCAGAGGTGTGAAATTAAGATTGACCAATACCAGCCGCCCTGATCGTACAGACAGCCAAGAAAAGAGTTCCTCGAATCGTTGTTACATGATGGCAGTGAGGGGTGGCATTAGTTGACTGTGCTTGTTACACTGATGGGTGGGGCTAAAGGTGGACGCAAAGGAGATGTTCAAACGTTTCAGTTTTTAATAGATCAAACAGTGGTCCTATGAAAGCCAAGCACTGGTGGTAATTGGATAAGTAAAGCTGACGCATGTCATTATCAGACAGGATAGCAGTTGAGAGGTGTGAAGTTTTGACCACTGCTTGTTGATCGGACAAGTGATCCTTGATCCCACCGGCTGAGCCTTTGAACCCCCCCCCCTTCCATCCCCCCTCCTAAATTCTCCTGTCTAAGACAGAATTTTGTTCTGGCTCCCTTATGATTCCGTCTTACTCAGGTTCGACTGTATTTGCCTTAAAGTGACTGCTTTTAAAAAGTTGTTTCAGCTGTATAAGTTTTTTAGTTTTGGTAAGGTTCCGAAGATGTGTTTTATGTATTTTTCCCCATAGGATGCTCTGGATGACAATGCAGATCTGCTTGCTTTGCGCGACCAACTGATAGATGAAATTGACGCTACTGTTGTGCAGGCCTTGGAGTACAGGGAAAGCATGAATCAGTACTCGAACCTGTGGTCAGACGACAGGAATGAATATCTTTCTATGTTCTTGAAGTACAACCATATTGTCACCCAGGAGGAAATCTCATTGGCTGGAGAGGAAGGAGTGCCGGAATCTCCCCCTACCTTGCCTCAGTTCAAGGAAAAGGTGCAAAATATATTAGATCGTGTTTGTTGGTGTTGGTTTGAGTTACGATAACTTTATATTTCATAATACTATACTCTTATTGTTGTGGAACCTTTCTGTTTGACAGGGGTGGAAATGGTAGTTGTTGATAATAGAATTGTAGGCCTATATTAAATTTGCAAATAAAATGTTTAAAATCCTGATCCCTTTAATGTAAGCTACTCCCCGATATGGTGATATTCATAATTTAAATCAATGCCATATTCAAAACTTTCTTCGCATGATTTGTTTGATACTTGTTGTAGCTGTAAGGTAAGAACTACGTCTCATCTAGAAAGCTGCTGACTTTGAACTTTAAAAGGCTGCAGTTGTTTCCAGAAAGGCACTCATCTACCATGTATATATGGCTTACCCTTTCTTGTTTCCTGTGCATTTGATTAAAATTTTTGCAGTATTTTTCTTATCGCTGTACAGGGTTTGTTTCTTGAGCTGTTAAGTCTTGAAATTCCTTTCAATATCATAAAGTAATGTTGGGTGTTCTGATTCATTCAGTTAGAGGAATTTTGTTTTTACAAATTTCAGATTGACCACTATGAGAAACTTTATGATGATATAGACCAGCTCCAAGCCCTCCAGGTGTTTCGGAACTGGTTGAGAGTCGACGGTCGCTCTTTTAAACAAAGTCTACTCAATGAAGTCAAGAGATGGAGCCTCATGTTCAAACAGCATCTCATAGACCGTGTGAATCTTGGGTACAGTGAACAATTCTGTTTTTGCACCATACGAAACAATTAAGTGCAGTTCAATGTGTATGCCAGCAGAGTGCTGATGTAAGACTGACATACTTAGAAAAGAATTGTGTATCAGTCAAATTTTGTGCTCTTTTGGCTTTTGTTTTATTATTGCTATTATAAATAGTGACCAGATGTTGTGACTGAGAGTTCTTTTAATGGGAAATTAACTTGCATGGCTTCTCATTTTTCAAGTCAATGTGTAATAGTAATGTTTTAAATTTAATTAAAGAGTGTATTATGAACATGTAATAATTGATCATGTATTTCTAATTTGAAAAAAAAAATAGCAGCCATATGTTTCACCCTCTTTGGATATTTGCAACTTTTTATGCACCAAATGAGAGATCGAGATGTACTTCTAAAAACTTCCACCTTTCCTCACAACACAGTTTTAGATCAAGACACAAGTGCTCAGAAACTGTGCCATTAATGACAACTATGTTGACAGCAATAAGGACATTGTTATATAAAAAAAGAGATATTAGAGTAATAAAAGGTGAAGGTCATGCTTGTCATCAGTGAGTAAAGATAATAATGAGGATAAGATGTTGATTTGAAATCTCTCCCACCCCCCCCCCCCCCCCCCCCCTTTTTTTTTCAGGCTGAGTGATCTTGAAGACTTTATAGCAAAAACCATGAAGGGATTGGCCTCTGATCCTAAGGAGAACGACTACGACGGGTTGGTGAAAAGCATGGCTCTGCTGAACGCTGTAAGGGACCGGCAGGCTGAGACGGATGTCATGTTTGATCCTCTCAAAGACACCATTGAACTCTTGAAGACTTTCGGAGTGGAGATGTCAGAAAAAGTGTATGCCCAGCTTGAGGTCAGCATTCCATGATTTTCTTGATGAATATTTGTAGAATGTTTTATCAATCTCTAATACATGAGTGAAAGTTTATAAATTTGCAGGCTTGTGTAAAAAATAAGTCTGATTGTTTCATTGTTAGAAGGCTTTCTTTTAGACAACACTTCAGTGGCTTGGTGCAAAACTCCCACAAATGTCCGCCTTTCAACATGGTGTTTGTCAGAGTCTTGTATCCAGCCTTCTTTTTATATTTTTTGACATGTTGGACAGTCAATTTTAAAAAATGTTGATAGTTAGAAAAACCTCAAAAAACTACCAGTACTCTTGTCTTTGTTAGAAGAGACAATTTTAATGTCTGACTATTCTAACTCTCTTTCCCTCGCCTTTTACCTCGGCAAGTAGCATAGGCCAGCAATCCTATTGAAAAATCTGTGTAGTGTGCATGTTTTTCCTCTTTTGTCCCTATTTTCCCCTGCTCCTTGGCATTTGCCTCTACCTTTCTCCATCCTGTTGTTCTTGGCCTTCCACCTCAGTTTCTCTTTCCTTGGGCCTTGGGGATTGCATCACAGTTCTTCCCTGGTTAAACTTGTCTTAAACTTTCAAAGTGTGTAATATTCCATCACACGATGAGTTGGGGCCTGATGGTGTGTCCTTAAGAATGGAATATTATTGATTTTCAAAAGCTTCATCTTGGTGCACTTACGCAATTCTGTGGACCTTTGTTGATAAAATGGTCCCCTTTACTTCTTGAAATGATTCCATTCTTGTTTTTCATTGGCATATCTGCATTCCTGGACTAATTACTAGTATCTTCATGGACTTGTATAACTCTCTATATTTCTGGAGATAGGTACATCATCTGCTACTTTAGCCAAGTTTTCTGCTTGATATAAAAAATCTTTTTTGACACCATATATCTTCATCTTTCTTTGCTTGTGAGTATTCCTCATGAGCTTTTGCTTGAGCTACTCTAGTTTTGCTCTCCTTTTTTTTCATCTTACTTTGCTTTGTCATAGAGGCACAGAGCATGTGATAACACTCTCTCTTTTCTAAGGTATCCTTGCATCTTGATAAAAGGACTAAGCTGCCTTTTTTATTAGCTGGGTTTCTGATAAGAAATGTACAATCATCAGATGATGATTTAGAATTGTTATGATTGAACATTGTTTTGAAACAGTCCTCTGTGTTTCTCACTCAATGTCTCTTTTTTTCTTCCAGGAATTACCTGATAAATGGATCCAGGTGAAAAAGAAGGTTCTGGTTTCAAAGCAGGCTGTTATCCCACTACAACAAAATGAAGTCGCCAAAATCAGGAGGAAAACTGTTTCTTTTGACTTGAAACAGCATGAGTACAGAGCAGAGTTTAGAAAATGTCTGGCTTTCTTCTACAACTGTGAAAAGCCGTACAGAATAATCAATGACGTGAGTACCCCCCGATATGATTTTTTTGTATCAGGACTACAGTACTTGAATATATTACAAGTTTTTCATTGGGGTCCCAGTGGTTGAGTGGTTTGTGAACAGTTTTTTTCAAAACAATGTCAAACAGTGTTAGTGATATAGTCTTAGGCCATGTGTGCTCTATGGAATATTTCTTTTAGTGGGAGTTGGAGACATTGACCCTTGATTAAAAAATAAAAAGAATGGTGACAAGCAGTATTGTGCTATTGTTGCAAGTTGTTATGGTACAGTAATAAAATGTTACTGTATTATGTTGGAATGGCAATCAAATAGTTCTGTTATGAACAATATGAATCCAATTTAGTAGTTTCAAAGTCAATGTATTGTTGTTTGTTTCACTTATTGCAGTGTCATGAGGAAATAACAGTTCTTGAAAACTACATGACCAAATTGCAGGATTCCTGTAAAATATTTGATGTCCAAATGCCAGATTACAAGCAGTTGAAAGTTTGTCGCAATGAGCTGAAGTTGCTGAAATGCCTGTGGGATTATGTGTTCATGGTGCAAATGATGTTTTCTTACTGGAATGATATCAAGTGGTCTGAAATTGATGTGGAACAGGTGATCATATTTTCAATAGTATTTTGAGTATTGAAGTTTATGATAAACCTCTATGTTTCATTTATTATTGTTATGTATTATTTTGTTGAGTTCAGAAAATGGTCAGTCTTGGTGGTTTGAGAGTACCTCTGGCAGATACTACTTTTTTGCCATACTTCTGGTGTTTCTGTCTGTCTGTCTGTCTTGCTTTTCCAAATCCTAAATGACATTTTTTCATGGCCTGGTACTGGTACTTTACTTTAATTTAGACTAAAAATTCTAAAAACAAAATTGTTGTAGGTGGGTGGTTGGCAGGTTCTCTGGCGTGGTTTGCTTCTTCTTTCCTATCAAACATATATCGTCCTGATCTCCCCTTCTTCTTTTTTATGTTTGTTACTCTCTTGTAACACCTCTAATCTTCTGGCACTCATATGACCGTATGCAGTTGCGAGCGCCGTAAAACCTTAACTAAAAAAAAAAAGTTATTGTAGCGTCATTGAATACTCTCAGAAAAAGACCATGTCATCTCCTGGAAACTGTAAAACCAAGTAATATTAGGAGGTTTTTTTTACCCTTTCAACTGTTTTTTTCTGTCTATCTTTTGTTCAGTCTTCAAAGTTCTTCAAAATTTGAACGATCTATTAAGAAAAAAAAATAACTGTGACAGATGGACATTGACTGCAAAAAACTGGCAAAAGAACTCCGCGGTCTGGACAAGGAGATGAGGGCCTGGGATGTCTACCTAGGGCTGGAGAATGAAGTGAAGAACATGATCACTTCCATGAGGGCTGTTGGAGAGTTGCAGAACCCGGCCATTAGGGAGCGCCACTGGCAGGAACTCATGGAAGCGACACAGGTCAGGGTCTTGTGAAAGGATAACATTGTGTGTGTGTGTGTGTGTGTGTGTGTGTGTGTGTGTGTGTGTGTGTGTGTATGTGTGTGGGGAGAGGGGAGTTTTGAGGGTCATGAGTTTCACTCTTCCAGACTATATAGTAGGGTGGATGGGGTAAGGAAAAGAGGAGGAAAGGAAAAGATGCAGTTTTCTATGGTAGGCCAGCTCCGCAGCTCTTTCCAGTTGTGATGTTATGTTATATTGTGTTGTAAGTGCCACAAAACTCGTACTAAATCTAAACGCAAACTCAAACTCAATCTAAAATACTCTCTAGCGCCGTAAAACTTGAACGACCCCGCGGGGCGCTGCTACTGACTGAAGTATCTTTAGGCCATTACCAAAGGGGGACACTAACCATGTCCTTATGCACCGTAGAATTGTAATTGTAAATGGGCTGATTCATCAATGTCATGCTCATAACTGTGCCTTAACTGCAACACAAACCTGCTTCTTTTTCTTTCCTAATCCTTAGTATCGTCATCTTTTCCTCTACTTCTTTTGTATGTTTGTCGCACTCTTGTGACCCGCTATTTCTGGGGTGCCTTGATAGTCGAAGTAGACTTTGTGCTGTTGAAGCTAGAGAGGTGAGCAGAGTAAGTCTGATTCCCTGTAAGGACTTCTTTGTTGACATCCACCCCTTGGCGCTCATATGACCTTATGCAGTTGCGAGCGCTGTAAAACCTCTATTAACCCTATCCGCGCGCCATATTTTACTATCGTATCCATACAATGTGGGGAACTCTGTGCCACCACTTTCCTAAGAGGAAATTTACTTGTTAATCCGATCTGTACACTTTGCATAGCAGTCTGTCAAAATGATTTTTTGAGAAATACTGAAAGTTTCAAAGAGATCTTCGTACTAGAAGTATTCTAAATTGTGAAGAGCACAATACCGGGGGTACAAATTGACCCCAGGGCTTAGGGATAGGGTTAAAACTAAACTAAACTAAACTCAATCAACTCTGTTCATGTTCAGGTGACGTTCACGATGGATAAGGACACGACCCTGGCGGACCTGCTGAGCCTGAACCTGCACAAGTATGAGGACGAGGTGCACAGCATCGTGGACAAGGCGGTGAAGGAAACGAGCATGGAGAAGACGCTGAGGGAGCTGGCCGTCACCTGGGCCACCATGGAGTTCATCCACACCAAGCACCCATCGACCGGCGTCACCATTCTCACCGCCGAGGAGGAGCTTGTGGAGACCCTGGAAGATAACCAGGTGCGCCCCCCCCCCCCCAAAGAGCAGTGGGTGGTTGGCGGGTGCTCTGGTGTGGTTTGCTCCTTCTTTCTTATCAAACGTCTGTCGTCCTTATCTCGCCTCCTTCTTTTTTGTGTTTGCTGTTACTCTCTTGTAGGTTGGGTCAGATAGTGGTGTTAACCAGTGCATACTATATCAAATAATTGACTTCTGCTTTCTGTCATCAGTTTTTGACTTAGAGGTCTGTTAAGATCAGTCACCTCCCGCTTGCAGACAAAAAGGTCCGACCCCGCAATGTCATGTAACAGTTAATAGCCTTGTGATTGGCTGTTTTTTATCGAACTGGACCCGATTATGATCTAAAAAGAACCATAGTTTGGAGAATTTCATAAAACTGTTGTGGCAGCTTCCCCCCTTGCGGGAAAATCTTACTTTTCTTTTGGACAATACAAAAGTGTTTATTTTTGCAGTCATGCGTTGCAATAAAATGTAATATAGTAATATGTGTTGCAATGTGGTGGAATCAATTTTTGGGCATGTGGAGTTATTGGTAGCTTCTTAAAGCTTGTTCATTTGTCTTGCTTTTGATGAAAAAATAATCCACCTATCTTGGATAGAACTCAAGATATCCGCGATTGAAAAAAGTGAGGTAGTCTGATTTCAGTGGTGAAATTGTCGAGAAAATGGCTGCCAAAGTTTAGTAACTCCAATAGCTAATGTCTTTAAAAAAAGAACAAATGAGATATTTTGTGCCTTTAGTCAATGTTTTTCTGTAAAACTAACATGGGAATGTGTTTTTATATGGACATAAAAGAAGTTAAGCCAAAAAATACAAATTCGTTAAAAATTTCCAAACTGGCGGGGAAAAATGCCTGTTTTTCCAAATTCATTATTTTGACGGCGCACATGATTTCACCACGCTGCCTCACATATTTTTATTTAATATTAGGTGTAAATTACTGCTCTTTTTATGACGAAACTATTGCCATAAATGTTTTGTATATCAGTCTGATCATTGACCAAAACCAAGTCGTGCTGTGGACTATTGTGAATGCAACCAGCTTGTGTTTAACGTGTACATATGACCTTAGGCAGTTGCGAGTGCCTTAAAACTGTTACTAAACAAATGCATTGTTACGTTAACACAGAACTTTTTTGAGTATGTTGATTCCCTCCTCTCCCCCCCCTTTCAGGAAAAATGTTCTAGGAAGTTTTTTAGACTGATTCATCAGGAGCTGATTTAGAGCTAGAGCATTCATATTTCATCCTCATGTTTTCTTTTTAAGGTAGATTTTGTGATATGCATGTGTTAAGGTCATATTTGTAATTTACTAAGAGTATGTTTATGTGTAAAATTGATATTGACTGGGTCCACTGCAGATAATAATAATAATAATGAAGATCATTTCGATAGCACCCACTCCCGTGTAAAAACAGCTCTAGGCGCTTTACATAAATGCATGTACGAACAATATTCACGCACATGACACACACGCACATGCACACACACACACACTCATACACACACACACAAACACACACACATACGCACACAAACACATACACTCGCTCGCCCACACATTACACACACATGTGCACATACAGATATTACAAACTATACCATTATGATGTCAGGTACAACTTCAAAATATGATGACTTCGAAATACATTGCCCATTTCCTGGATCAAGTGTCTTCCTGGCAAAAGAAGCTGTCTATGACTGATCAGGTGAGAAACAGTCTGGCTTACAAATTACAAACTACAAAATGTAACCAGCATTAGCTCATAGTCTATGGAAGGCTATTCCATATTTGTATAGAGTCAGTTTTTTAACCCAATTTTCAGCAGACCTATGTTTTAGAATTTTCCCTTATGACTCCACCTCTATTTAACCTTTCAGCTAAATAAATACTAAACGGAGCAAAAATGAATGCTTCATGCGATAAATATTACTTCCTATTTGTGGTGAGCTATGTGTTTAAGTTTTATTTGAATATAAATACTAATACAAATATGGATGAAAAGAGCTAGGAGTCAGGAGTGCAGCAGCAAGGAAGGAATTTAAAGACAAAGCTATAAAAGGTCCCCAGTCCTAAGCTGACACACCATCCCTCATCTCAGTTTTCTTTGACATCATTTGTGCCGAAATTTGCACCCAATACTGCTTGTTTGGACCTTTTTGAAGGGCTATTAAAAGTGTTATATCAGGATAAAATAAGTAATGCTACTAGCAATCTTATTTTCCCTGGATAAATAACAGTTCTAAGGAGTTCAAATTATAGGAAAATGTTTCTTCAAATTTTGGCACGATGCTTTAGAAATAAAAAGGTGTCCCTCCCTTTCTGTGCTGCTTTTGGCCACAATCACTCATTGCCAATTGGTAGGTGATTTGATTTATGTGTACTTGCTTAGTAATTGTTTGCCCTTGTCTTGCTTTTCCCTGCTCTAAACCACTATTATTATTGTATTGATGTGCGTCTGTTTACTCAAACTCAAACTCTGGATGAATTTGTGATTGTGGCTCTGGTGAAATGGTGTGGTTATTGTGTGCTGTCTTGGACTTGCTTGCATGTGAATGTTTCTGTCTAGGTGATATCAATCTATATGCAAGTCCAGCGGACGTGGCTACATCTTGAAAGCATTTTCATTGGATCTGAGGATATTCGTAAGCAGCTACCTGAAGACACAGCAAGATTTGAACGGATTGATTCTTCATTCAAGGTAATGAGATCCAAATTTCCTTTAAGGATGTGCTCAATTAATATTATATTTTGTTGCCTCAATTGTGGATGATTTAAATTTAGTACTGATTCTTTTTACTTTTACCTGTTATGCGTATGAGTGAGTGCACCTAAGATTTGTAACATCTACTGCCACTGTGAACAACCAAGACAAATTTCTCCCTGCGAGATGAATAAAGATTTTCATTGTCATTGTCATTTGAAAGCCCTGTGTTTTTTAAATAGTTTATATTTACAGTTATTTTAAAGCAATTATCAGACTGCTTGGACTTGTCAATGACAGAGTGTACATAGATGTTTCTTGTTGGTAATAATGCTCACCTTCGTAAGGTACACTAACGGCTGGGTACACTTCTCAGAGAAAAATGCTTTTTGAAGTATGTTGTTTTTATTGTTTTATGAAACCTTTTGATTTGTTTTTTTAGTTTTTCAGCTTTGTACTACATTAGTATCCATGATTGACTCTGAAAAATCCTATCAAAATCATTTGACGCTGTGTTTGGCACAGAGCAGGCACATTTTTTGTGTTTCTTTTGTTTAAAATATTGTAATTCAGTTTTGATACGAACAATCATTGCAGCAAAATATGACTCTCATTACACTTACTTATGGTAATATTCTCATAACACATCAATTCTCATCCAAGATAAATTTGCAATTTTTTCTGTCAACCAACTTTATTGCAGCAAATTGCAAAAGAAATTTCTGTGACAACCATTGTGGTGGATGCTTGTAACCAGCCCAACCTGTTGGAAAGACTGGACAAGCTGCAAAACGACCTGACCATCTGTGAGAAAGCTCTGGCTGAATACCTCGAGACGAAACGCCTGGCGTTCCCCAGATTTTATTTTGTCTCCTCCGCTGATTTGCTCGACATTCTGTCCAATGGGAATAACCCTGCTGTTGTAAGATTTCCTTACTTTCATACTTTTATCAAGAGAAAGATAGAGAGCTGATAGGGTCACACATGGGGTTTGGTCTTTCTATTAATTTCCAGAGTTTCAATTATTTAAATTTGTAGGTGGTTGGAGGGTGCCACTGGTAGGTCTTACTTCTTTTTTATCCTTCTGTTGTTTCTGTCTCTCATGTCTTGCTTTTTTCCTTCTCTAAATGACAGTTATTGTATTGATGTGCTTCTGTTTACTCAAACTCTGGATGAATTTTATGATTGTGGCTGGTGAAATGTTGTGGTTATTGTGCCGACTTGGACTGTATAATCCGCTCCGCAACCTTGAGAGTGGGTGGTTGGCGGGTGCTCTGGTGTGGTTTGCTTTTTCTTTCTTATTAAACGTCTATCGTCCTGATCTCTCCTCCTTCTGTTTTATGTTTGTTACTCTCTTGTAACACTTCTAATCTTCGGCACTTATATGACCTTATTGTGTTGCAAGTGCCGTAAAACTCTTGCTAAACAACCTTGAGACACATTGGCTGATTTTGATGGTCGTGTCGCATGTTGTTGAAGAGTGCAACAGTTGGTTGGTTCTCTTTCTTTCTTATTGGTTGGTCCCTTCTGTCTTTTGTCTGCTTTTTTTCCCCCAATTCTCTATGAACATCTCTGTTCTGACTTCTCGTCTCACCAAACTCTGCCCTCTGCCACCCACTGCTGTTGTGGCAGCTCAAAGGTACTACAGTTGTTCTGTTTGCTAATTTCTAAGTATTTTTACCCCCCGGGGCAGTGCCACTGACTTTAGGCCATTCCCAAAGGGGGGGACATTTCTCATTCAAGCATAGTAGAATTGAAAATGGGCTGACTCATGTCTCCCTTATAACTGTGCCTGATCTACAACAGGGAACTGCTGCTTTTTCTTTCCTAATTCTCACTATTGTCATTTTCCTCTACTTCTTTTGTATGTTTGTCACTCACTTGTGACCTGCTATTTCCGGGGTGCCTTGATAGTCGAAGCAGACCTTGTGCTGTTGAAGCTAGAGAGGTGAGCAGTCTAAGTCTGATTCCCTGTAAAGACTTCTCTGTTGACACCCACCCCATGGCGCTCATATGACCTTATACAGTTGCGAGCGCCGTAAAACCCTCTACTATAAAAACAAAGTATTTTTGAAGAAAGCTTTGTGGCATTATTGTAATCTGTAATTTGTGTTCTTTGTTTTTTTTTAAAGAAGAATTGTTGTTCTGTTTATACCATCCTTTCTTTCCTGTTGGTCCATAAAGGTTATAATCTTTTATGTTGAACTTTCAAGTCTGGAATGATATTGTACCTACATTAATAAAATGAAAAGTATTTCCATGCTTACTTTTCAAATTTATGTGACATACCTGCAGAAGGGTTTATCTTTTGCAATAACAAATAATTCATACATTTTTTCAGTGTTGTTATATTGGTACACATTTAGGGTTTTTGTTCTGTTCTGACACAGACGACAACAGCATTTCCACTTATGGTTGCCAATGGCTACGGCTGATGAGGAAGCTGTTGTGCAGATTAGCACCTTGTAAGAAGCGTGGTGCACAGTTATCATAGGTTCTCTTTATTTCATCAATGTAATGATAAAAAATTTGCTTTAGAAAAGCCAATTAATTTTTTTTTAGCTTCTTGTACGCCTTTTTTTCCCCCCAGGTATCTCGTCAACTGACCAAATTATTTGACAGTTTGGCAAAACTAGAGTTTGACAAAAGCAATCAGAAACTTGCCCGAGCAATGTACAGCAAAGATGGAGAGTATGTGAAACTGGCTTATGACACAGACCTCTCTGGACAGGTAACCACAGAAAACACTGCGTTGTTTTTAAAAAGTACTTGCTTACTGAGGAATTACTCACCCCGTCTCTTGAATCGTTTTTCTTAGGCGAACGTTAAAGAGCGGTAATGAACTTTCGTTGTGAAGGAGAGCTACGCAGATTTGTTTCGTTTCTCAGCAGAATAATCACAAAGGCCAAAGAAGGACAGGAACTTTTTGTCAAATATATTTTTCTAAATTTGGGAAATGAATAAATCGAAAATCGGGCTCCGTCATGGGGACCTATCTATCTTTTTGCAGGTACTTGCCAACTTTCAACTCTATAGCTGTCGTAGTCTTATGGGAAAAGTGACACTTAATTTGTTTCCAAGTTGCCAAATATATAATAGATGAGAAAATCAGTTGATATCAGATGTCTTTGGGTTTTTAAAAATTGTTTTCTTTTTAATTTAAAAAAAAAAAAAAAAAAAAATTTATATTTGTTTGTGACACAGGTGGAGGTGTGGCTGAACAGAGTGCTGGAGGTGATGAAGGCCACCGTGCGTGGAGAGATGGCGCACGCCGTGGCTTCATACGAAGACAAGCCCAGGGAGAAGTGGCTTTTTGACTTTCCGGCTCAGGTTTGCAGGGACATTTCATTTCTGGTTTTCCGTTAGAAATGCCACTATTTTGGACTTTTCTCTACTGGTGTTATCTATGGCGCATGGAATAATGTCAAAAAGCTATCCCAAGCTTGGGAAAAATTGGAAAGTGTTTGTCGAATGCCTATGCCCTGGTCTAAGGATAGAAAAGGGATGATGATGATGATGATGATTCAGTTTGCTCCCTTTTTCAGTAAACATAATTATATTAACATTAACATAAGGCAGAAATTATGGATGAAGGGTATGTCTGGAGTAGTTTTGTTTTTCTGTTTCCATTTCTGTTTTTAAAAAATTACATTTTGTTACTTCTCAAAAAGTTTTATAAGATCAGACAATACTGGCAAAACATTCTAGTACCTTGTTAAAATCTGGATGGGCTCTCAGGTTTTTTTTGCCCTTCATTTGAAATTTTCTCGCAGCTTGGTATTTTTTTTCCTGGGTATGGAGATTTCGGCCTTTTAAAGAGCTATTCCATGCCTTATTGTACTTCTAGCAAAACCAACAGATGGACAAAGTTCCGGTCTTTTCACTTCAGGTAGCTCTCACAAGTACACAGATCTGGTGGACAACAGAGGTTAATATAGCCTTTGCAAAGCTGGAGGAAGGTTTCGAATCTGCCCTTAAAGACTATCTTAAAAAACAGGTTGGTTATATTAATACATTTCTGCGAAGGATCAATAAAAAGTTATCTTATCCTGTCTTTTGTCTCGCCTCGCCTTGCCTCATCTCGCGTTGAAGGATGACACAGCCTGTGTTGTTCTGAATAATTTTTCTAATTTTCAAAGGAATAATATTGTTTCCGATGTGTTTAAAAATTTAAGAGCTACCATTGGTTTCTGTAAAATCATATTAATTCCTCAGTTTCCATATTCGATGCTGTCTAGCATTGTTCAACATGTCATTGTTACCATATCTCAATCTGTTCCTGGCAAACTGACTGGTTCTTTACTTCAATTATTATTTATTACAAACGTTCTGCTGTCAAACTAAAATACCTGCAGGTGCTTGGGGAGCCAACCTGATAGGTCCAACTTCTTTTCTTTCCTCGTATTGTTTCTTTCTGTCTGTTTGTCTATCTTACATTTTTCCTTGCACCTTACAACAAACATTGTGTTTTTAGTTTTAGTCATTTTTACGGCACTTTCAACATTATGAGGTCATGTAGAAGTGCCGACATCGTGTTTATGTGGTGTTCATTACTCGAACAATACAAACTATAATATACCTATGAGGAAAGATAAAAGGGTTTACACTTGTGTATGCTAAATTCTTAACACTTTTCAGATTAACCAGCTGAACAGTTTGATTAACTTACTTCTCGGTGACCTCTCCAAGGGAGACCGCCAGAAGATCATGACAGTGTGTACCATTGATGTGCATGCCAGAGATGTTGTGAACAAGATGATTAACCAGAAGGTCTGAGAATGTTATAAATGGATTCTATTTAAATATTCTTAGTGATTTTTTGAATTCCCCATAGCCTTCTAGCTCTAATGTCAGTTTCACTTTTTTTTTTTTGCGCGCTGGGGGGGGGGGTCCTTTATACCGTAAATCTGTCTCTCATCATTGACATTAACAGACCTCACTCTGAAACATAAATGTCACCACATATAAGATACGACTATTCATACATAGTCAAACCTGCTCTAACAGCCACATGTCCAAGAAAATCACCTTTACAAAACACCACTTCCCTCTTCCCCCCTTGCATTTTAAAAATATTATTATAATGGCACTATCCAAGACACCCACCTGTCTCAGACAATCTGTTTTCTCCTAAAAATAGGTGACTGTCTTAAACAATTTCAAAGGTATGTCATTTTAAAAACTTTCTTTACCAAGCAGATTGTGCTTTTCACTTTGCTTGAATCCGAAGCTTATTACTCAGCAAATCTATCACTTTATTAAGATTAAGACAACTAAACTCTGATCTATCATCCACACTGCAAAAGCATTTAATTTTACTTATTATCCTCCATTGTCCACCCCTTTGTTCTGCTTGCAGGTAGACAATTCTCAGTGCTTCCTGTGGCTCTCTCAGCTGCGCCACCGCTGGGACGTCAAGGAGGCGGACGCATTTGCCAACATTTGCGACGCCCAGTTCCGCTACGACAAAGAATATCTGGGCAATACACCACGACTTGTGATTACACCTCTCACTGACAGGTTCAGTTGATTCACTTTACTATTTCGTCACAATCTCATTTTGTAGCTGTAAGTTACGGACCACATGTGTTCATTCTTTATAACGAATATAGTTTTAACAGGTACATTATATACTTTTCAAGGCTCTTGCATCAGGATACGTGCTGTGTTACTGGTTCTAGTGTTGAGTGTGCGCAGAGGTTACTTAAGGAATTTTTCAAAGACTCTTCATACATACCACTTATTTGAGTATAGGTTTGAATTGAGCACCCTGTCTTCTCTTCAGAAAATACTGAAAAAACTCAGAGGTCATTTGTCATAGAAGAGAATGGTAGAAAAATACATTTTTCCCTCAAACAGGAGAAACTAACATGGTCTGAATAAATCATGTAGAGAAGCTATGAAAAAATTCACATGTCTGCCATAAATATGAGGAACTTTGGTCTTTTGATTGAAAAAAAAGCCATATTTGTAATAATTAATTGGCTTCTCCTTAGGCTGAAAAACCAGCTGTTAATTTCCTCTAAGAGGAACACAAAAAAAAAAGGAGAAAAGGTTACATTATAGTTCCTGATAAACATTAAGTATTTATTTGTCACTTAATCTATTTCAAACAATCTTTGCATGATGGTTGAGCTTCACCTCAACCTCTGTTGGACTTCCATTTTTCCCAGGGAATATTTTGTTTCTCTTTGCCAACATTGCCATTATAATTTTTCCAGAGTCACTGTCTTTTTCTTAATTAAACAGGGATCAGGTAGATAGGAAAATTAATCATCCTTCCCTTCCCCCCC